CTAAATATAGTTCTGAATAAAGCCTTTCAAACGCATTGCGATTGATACCAATCTCCTCAAACCAAAAATTTTTTAGCACTCCTTCGTTTCGTATTTTCAAACAGGTGGCAACCCTCACGAAAAAATAAAAGCTTATTGCACATCCATGGACTGTATCCTTTCACTTTGTACCTAATTTTTACTATGAAGATATTATAATTCTCAAAGTGGTGGCAGCCCTCCAAAAAAAAAAAATAATTCATTATTGGATATCTAGAGGCCAAGCACCTTCATTTGACACCTCATTCTCGGTAATGCAACGTACGATGCGGATCTTATAATTTTGAAGACAGATGGCAACCCTATAGAAATTCTCAGGCCTAAAGATTGTACCTCTATTAAAAAAATTTTGAAAAATCCGTTCAATAGTTTTCGAGATTAAAAAATCCCGAATTTGCTTTATTCTATGTAAGGAGGATATATATGTAGTTTTCTACGTGTACTGCGCTTAAAACGTTAAATTTTCGAAAAATTAGCAACTGTGATATTAGCAACTCAAATAAAATCGAATTATTATTAAGCATTTTTTTATTGTTAATTCGCATCAGCACTTGTCAGCTTGCTAGTTCCAGTCCACGGAACACAAAAATATTGTTTAGTAGTTTTCTTTAAATACGCACAACAAACACATTAAATAACAACAAACAAACCCACACACGATATGCACATTTACTAATTATTATTATAAATACCTTGACCTTTATTTTCCATATCTAATTTTGTTTTTTATTTATGTATATTAACGCAACCTTTCACAAGCTCATCACAATTGACTAAAAATTTTGCACCAATTCTTACAAAATATCAGCTAATCATACACATGACTTTGAAAGCACTCTGAAAGCACAGGGTTGAAACTCCAATTCTGTTATTTGGAAATTTTCTTAGTTGACATATGTACTTTTATAAAAATAACTGATATCAAGAATATATTGCAATAAAAATCTTGAATTTATGCCAAATCAAACCCAATATCGGCCACTGTGCATTGTTCTTTACGTTTACAGGCTATTTGTTTTTCTACGACTGGGAGTAAGCTTATTCTTCAGGAATTAAACAATACCAAAAAGGATAGAAAATCGGATCCACATTAACTGCAATCAACATATCTGTGGTCATAAGCAATAATCGCCTAAGTCGACTTAAGAAAGAATTGAGTTATATGCGCTATCGAATTCTGCAACTACTATTCCTTGTGTATGTGAAATCGCCATCTCGCCACCTAGGCTATTTAAAAAGTTATAGACGAACATATTTTGGTTTCCCCATAAGATTAACATTACTATCCAAATGTTTAAAACGGTTTCACTCGAAATCGGGTTTTTTCGACTTAGGCGGTTATTGCTTATTTACATACATACGCTGCGATTAGGTTATAAATATTGCGCCATCTCTTACTCAAAAGCCGAAATACTTACACACACATACTTTTTCTCTCCTTCTCTCACGTCCAGCGCAGGCACGTGTGAAGATATTTGAAGAAAATAAACATACATACATACTTAGAAGATATCAAGCAATACTTCCCATATACCTAACGAAAGAGAAAAACTTGGAGTTTTTGATTAAAGAAAACAAAATCATTCGAGCGGTTTTCGAGGATCTTGGTAATAACAAAAATTGCAAATTTAAAAAAAAAAATTGTTGCCTTAAAATGCTCAATATTTGCTGACTGTATATAAAATTTGTATTTCTATTGCTCCAAAGAACCTATATCCCGAAAATGAAAGTTATATCTGCAAATAATAAGATGCTAGATCACTTTAAAGGCTAAAAATTGACTCCAAAATAAGCCAATATTTACCGTTGTTTCTACGACAGAAACCGAATAAGTTATTTACAGAAATGAATCCCTCGATAGGTTTGGAATTTTGCCTTTGAAACGCCATACTTTTCTTTGAAATCACTTCATTAGTTATCGTGCAGTAAACGTTTCCGTGAAGCTCTAAAAATTAAAACTACATACAACATTTGAGCATACATAGCCTCCATATCGAAATGTAAGACGTATTCTACGTCAAAACTGTATATAAAAGCACCGTAAATACATTTTAAAATGATCCGATACTATCGATAGTTTGTTGATAAACGAGCCCAGAGCAGATGTCATTATTTCGCTGCGACAGTATTTTGAAAAGCCTAATACACCTCAATACGCGAATCCATTGCTTATTTGGAAGGTACTGTTTAAGTTAAATCGTTCATATTATTTTATGTTACTAAATTTAATTATTCCCTTTTACCGTCAGCTGGCTGCGGAAAGGTTCGAACCTTAGTGGAAGCTATGATGAAGCACTTCCGTGGGGTCCAAACGTATATTTAGTAAAGCCAGTCGGGAGTGTCTCGTTACGCTGCATTACAAAACTTTACATCGCGAAATTCTGCAAAATGTTAAAAGAATTCTGCTGGATCAAAATTCGGTATTTTTTTAATCCTGCTTTTCCTAATTCTTCTTTTTCAAAATTCTGTTTTTGAAAGTTTCGCATTTTGAAATTCTGTCTCACAAAATTCTATTTTTCGCGCTTTCGTCTTTCAAAATTCTGCTTTTGTGGTAGATAAGATCTGGCAAAATTTACCATATCTTTGGCTGTGTGCCAATCGGTAACTTTTTTCTCCGTGGCCAGTCGGATTGGAACAACCTACAATGGTGTACGAATAAATTAAATGCTGTGCCAAATGCAAAGTAAAATTTTGACAGTTGAAAAACCAAATCAACGCTCGTGCGAATGCTCTTTTTTTGTGTTTTGCCTTTTTATGATTTTTTCAGCTTTCATTTTGATTTTGACTCTTTATTACCGCCAAACAATATTATGTATATCGCTAGCTTAGGAAGAAAAGTTGCTAAGTCCCATTTTAAAAATTTTACAGGAGAGGAAAAAATCTTCCTATAGCCATTTTCTTTAACTATTTCGCAAGACTTTGAATCAAACGTTTTGCGCGTTAAAAGCAAGGCAAAACTCCATAAGAATCAGAAGGATTCGATATTTATTAAAAGATGTCGTATTATTTTGGCCTTATCGGATTTGTGGTGCTTCTTTTGGACTTAGCAAATTTTCCTTTTGGTATTCAATTTCTCTAGCCTCCTATATCAAAATATGAGTTTTCATAAAAAGTGGAATAATTTTGTAGGCAAACTTTGGGTCTTTCAATACGAAAACAATGCCAATTTTTTCAAATGAGCATTTTAGGGATTTTTTCAAAGAACGGGATTTTTGTATTTTCGACGTAATCGACTCACATTTACAATAACATATAATTTGTGCAGATTGCGCTCCACAACATCTACATTTCTCTTTCGATTTTCATTATTTTAGGCTCAAAATTTACTGTAATGATAAATCTTTTATAATGAGTTTTAAAAATAATTGAAAAAAATCAAGTAAAACTATGTAGTTGACTGAAAATCTCACTTCGACTTTCGACTTTGATCGCTTGTAGCACTAATAATTTTCATTGAAATCGGCACATATATATATATGTATACCGGCAGCTATATATTTTTGGAAGGAACACAGCAATACCTTGCGAACTGTAAGTCGCCCACGTTGATTGGGAGATTATTTCACGAGATATTGAAGAAAAGCTCTGAAGATAACCAAAAAACAGGGTTTTTGAAAAAATCAGGGATGGAAAATTATCATTACTTTTATACTCACGTATTCTGTTCATACATTCTACTGTAATTGAGAATGACTTTTATATTTTGAGTTTAACAAATAAAAATTAAAGATAATAATTAATATTTGAGTTTTATTTTTCCGCTCAAAAGTAATGATTATTTTATGATTTTTTTTTTCGATCAAAAATAATGATTATTTTATGATTTTTATTTTTTCGCTCAAAGATAATAATTGTTATTGAGTGTTTTATTTTTTCACTTGAGCGAAAAAATAAGCTCAATAATAATAATTAAAAAAATATATAAATATATATAAATGACCAAACTGTCTACCTTTGGCTGATCAGATACAGATAAGAGATCAATTAAGGACCGCACCAGAGGTAATAAGTGACATAAAACGTTTTGCAGTATCACCGACGATATACAAATATAAAAACATGCAAATGTTCTTAAAAACAAGTAGCGCCTCAAATTGTTTTAATTGCAAACATTTTGTCCAAGCAGCTGGTATTTCGTAAGCCTTTATAGTAGAACCAGCGAAATCTCTCGAAATCAAATTATCTGCCTGACTTTGCCTTTAATAAACAATATATGTATATACATATGTATGTGCAGGGCGCTTTCTAGAGGGAAAGAAATTTCGGTTGTTCTTGCGCGAAAAAATGCATGCATATTTATGTATTTACATTAGGGTGGCACAAAAAAAAATTATTTTTCTTGGAAAAGCGAAATAACTCCAATTCGTTCTAATACAAAAAAAATGCATTTTTTTATTTTCGAAAAATTTACTATTAACACGTGCAATGAATGCATCTAAATTTTTCCATATAAAATGTATAGAAAAATTTTAAATTTTCGAAAAATCAAGATCATTAGCCAGGTTTGTAAAAAGGTTAACGTTAATTTAGGAACTATTGTTCTTAAATCCTAGCAATTTAGAAAATATATAACTTTAAATACAGCGCACCCGGACCCCGTACAGCACCGCCCAAATTTTACAGAAGGGGTAACAATTTAAGTTATACGGGTCATTTTAAATCCCAGTAGTTTAATGTTAACTGTATTAAAACCCTGGCTAATGAACTTGATTTTTTGAAAATTTAAGATATTCCTTGCATTGTAAATATTAAAATTTTCGAAAATAAAAAATACGAACACATTTCCTTTTTTGTTATTAGAACAAATTAGGGGTTTCTTTGCTTTTTTCCACGATAAAAAATTGTGCAATGTATTTTTGGGTCACCCGAATGTATACATTACATACATATATACGCACAAATGTCGCACAAACGCAACGAAATGTTCTCGGTCAGCCACGGCGTGCTATGAAAATACATATAAAGGCTGGCACTCGCAGCGGCCAGCGTAGTTGTCAAAGCGTCGAATAGGCGTACAAATCAGTCCGTTCCAGTGCCAGTCAGATTTATAGGATTTAGACAGAAATTACAGGAATACATTACTGAAGATATTAGAAATTTGCATACGGAAACCAATTCTGACTAAATCGCGTAAATCTGACTGGTAGTGGAATAGATTTAGATCTTTTAAACAGAAGCTAAACAAGTTAACGTTTTTTCAACAGATACCGTGTTTTAGCTATCTACCGTTTTTAAGTGAAAGTAAGTAAATACCATATCCACGTTATAATGGCGAGTCCACCATTGCTATTGAGTTTGATTGACGATTTAAGCCGCCTGACACCTTTCTACGAACCGGTGGCCTCCACAGACTGGCCTGCGATCGTCACTTCGCCCAGTGGCCAATTCAGGAAATTTGAAGGAGATCTGCCTGTTACCTCGGTTGGGAAAGATGGTTTTCAAGCCAGTATGAATGTGCAGCAGTTTAAGCCAAGTGAGCTCAGCGTTAAAGTAGTTGACGACCACATCGTGGTGGAGGGTAAACACGAGGAGCGAGCAGATGACCATGGTTATATTTCACGTCATTTCATTCGTCGCTTTGAAGTGCCCAAAGGCTTCGATGCCGCTAAAATGGTTTCCACACTGTCATCGGATGGCGTCCTAACAGTCAGCGTACCAAACCCCGCCATAGAGGACAACTCCAACAAACGAGTCATCCAAATTAAACAGACTATACCAGCGCTTAGGAAGAAACCTAAAGATAATCCAAAGGAGAACCCAAAAGAATAGAACGCCAAGGTAGAGAATACCTATGAGTAACCACCCAAACGGATTCATTTACTCATAAAATTTTTTTCATTTAATAGTGATAAATGTTGAATAATTGTGCTGGGTGCAATCATGGCAATCATGGACTACATTGTCGTTCTAAATCGATGTACCCGAAATTCGCTATTAGCATACAAACAAGTGATGTGACTTTGGAAAATACGAATCTCGCATAGTTTGACCAATCTATCGAAATTACGTATAAACGTATAGATGTGTACATAAATCTGGACAGAAAAGTATACCAGTCCGATTTTTATTTCGGCCGACTTCCAAATGTGCCAATTCAATAGGGCTGTTCAGGATGTTGTGGAAATGGTCTTGGATTTTCAGTTGGAATTGCATTTGGAAATTTTATGATTGCTGTCATGGCAACCGTGTGCGCGTTGTTGTTGTGAATTTACAAATGCACCAAATATGCAAATGCAAGAGCATATGCACAGCCCTAATGTTTGGTTACTGTTCTACCGCGATATTTAAACTGTTTGTATATGCAGAGTTGATAAACATTCCATATTTGGAATATTTAATATAACAACGATCACCCAAACAAACGAAGCATCAGCTTTGTTTCTGATGCGCTCATTACTCTGGCGATGCGTTTCGATAACTTTTCGGATGCGTTTTGAAAAGTATAGTACATTGTCTACATTTTGTAGTTCGGGAGTTGTTATGGAACATTATAGTTTGTACGGATGCAAAGCAATTGACGTTTCGGAAGTCAGCCCTTCTTTCAAATATTGTACATATTAGTGATTATCGGTATTCTCCATATCTGTCAGCTACTTCTGACGCTAATTATTATCGTGACCGAGCATTTTGTGTTTAATATTTTGCTACTTTTTTCGAAAGATTTTTGACGAACCAACAACAGCTTTCAATACTACAACAAGTAATTTTTAAGCAAAAAACAAAACCGACTTCAATTCTCATATAAAACTTTAAGATTATCATTAATTACTACATGATCCGATGATCAGATTTGAACCAAATTAATATGGGGCCACCTGTGAGGTAACACCTTATTGAAATCGATTAACGTGGTCCAAAGTTATGCGGTAACATACATAGAAAAAAACTATTCCGACGAATTGATAACCTTTATTTTTTTTTTGTGAAGTCGGTTAAAAAGGAAAAGTACAAATATATACAAGCTTTCATTAAGTTTTTGTGGCTGCTAAAGTTCTGTACGACAGAAAATAAATAAGTTTAACAGTATACATACGTTCCAAGTTAACGAAAAATTCGTTTAGAACTCCTACTAAGTCGTAATGGAAAAACTAAAAAAGTTTTTTTCGGGAGGACCCAAAAGAATATATAACATGTTTGATTAATATTGTCGATATCATATTGATGCCATGTGGAAAAAAAAGGAAACCGTAGCAGACTTTGTTGCACAACTACCTAATAAATAAATGTAACGTGGCCGGTTTTTCTCTTTTTATTTAAAATTTTTGTATTGACTTGACGATTCTCATTTCATTTTAGCAATAAATAATAAGACATATTTAAGAAAGTATTTGCGTGAACAATTGCGACTTGAGCATTATACTACTTAACTTTGATGAATATTCTATTTAAATAAAGCGACACTAACATATGGTAAATATGCCTTGAAATCTGTATCTCTTAAGATTTTGATTATATGTATATTTGCATGGAATTCAATGAAATTTTTTGCAACATATGAAACTGATTATGTATGGAAAAGAAAAACGATGATTCAGAAAGGATTGAAAATATAACAGAACATAGTACTTAAGATGTATTTATGCATATTTTAAGTTTGTAAACATGAGTGTGTTTTTGCAGTACAGTTCAATAAATATTATTCGAGATACTATGAATATGAGCATAAGATAGATGTGGTAAGATTTTTGACCTAGTTAGAAATTTTAACGATAATTGCATATATTTTTTAATCCTTCCCAATTTTAGCTCAAATAGTTTTTTTTCAGTGGCGTTTTCGTTTCTACAAAAAATATTGTCTTCTCATCGCCCTCTTCTAGTGTTTGTGCGTAGGGGGCAAGAAAAAGGTTGCATTTTTCGGTAGAAACGAAATCGGCATAAATGACAGAATATGTAGGAATGTGAAGCAAAAATGGATAAGCAAATTCTTTGGGTTAAACCATACGTGTACCGTAGCCAGTGTTTTTGTGTCTTTACCAGTGCCCAAATTTTATAGAGAGAAATTGTCAAAAAACTAAAGTTAAGAACAATTGAGTATGCAGAAACTAGCAATATGTATTCGGTTACCCAGTTCGCGGAAAATTCAAAGTTTTCTGACGCGATCTATCATTGAACTTCCAAATAGTGTAACCTGACCAGTGCACATTTGAATGCCCATACCATTGACGTCAAAGAAATTATTATACCCCTTTTTACAGAAACATAGACTCGACTATGCCTAATCATATAACCTTAAAGACCTAGGTGGTTTTCCGTTATTTGGTTTACAATTGATCCATATTTAAAAAGAAATGCGTACGAATGTAACGTTTCCAGTCAAATAATCGGTCATATGTATAAGTATGTACATTAAGGGTACCCATATTTTTACAAATCAAAATTTCAATGGTCGCCGCCCGGTGCTTGTTTCTTTTCCTCTAAACGACTTACATACGTCAAAATTTGGGGTCGATAGGATAACGCTTGATGGAAGCGAAAATTACTTAAAAAGGAAATATTTGTTTTGCTTTAGAAATTAAGTTATTTTATTATTGCAGCAATAGCTCAGATCCAATACTTTTCGTATTAAATCCTGTAAAAATGTCAAACAGTAAAATTACTCTCTGATTTACAAAAAGTTTGGGAACAAAAAAACATTTTTCCTGTAAGAACGTCAACCAGTGAACGCTTGATACTTTTCAAGATTTTACCAGAAGAAAAAGTTCTGTTAAAATCTTGCAACTCTACACAACTCTACAAAAATCGCTCTAATTTACAGGATTTTAGAGCACGGAATAATTTTTCCTGTAACTTCCTGCAAGTTCGGGTCAAAACCTTTAAGTTCATGGAGTATTAGATCAGAGCATATATTAGGTGCATTCTTTTGCAACCGAGCTACAAACGAAGACTCGCTTAATACCATGTTCTGACCGACAACGAAAACACATTGAAAACGAGTTTTGGGATTGCGTGCTGGGATTGTGTGGGCTGTTCACACCGGTTGTTAGTGTTTTCGTTGAAATTTCTTACATCTTTTGACTACAGTTTTGCTACAAAAAAAACGAAACCAAAACACTTTCCCTTCATTTTCTTTTCATTTACAACCTTTAACTTTTCTTCTTATTTTACTTTGGCCAGCCAATTAACAATAAATCCGAAATGGCGTATTAAAGATGATAAAATATGACTTCCACTTCAATGAATAATCGAAAAAAAGACTAGTGAAGACGCCGATTGGAATGAGTGGAACGTGAGTTTTCAAGTAGTTTCCAGCGAAAACTGATTTTCGTGTGACAAATTTTATATGGACGAAAACATATCGTCGTTTAAAGTGCAAAACCGCGTATCAACAAAACGCAAAACCGCGTATCAGCAAAATGCAAAACCGCGTATGTGAAGTTGAAGAAATTATTTTCTAGAGCGTAAAAACACTCATATTTCAAAATGGTTCTCTGTTTTAAAACGCAATCGAATTTCTGGCTAGTATACTTCAGGACAAATGGCTAAGGATTGAGCCAAGAGCTTGTGTTTGCAAATCCAATTTTTGGCAGCCAATGTCAGTTACGCGGTTTTGCGGAATGACGATACGCGGTTTTGTGTTTTAAACGACGATATGTTTTAGGTCGAAAAACAGTTCTAGCAACGAAAACATATTTTCGACGTCTGTCAGAACATGGTATAAATGACGAAACGCACGCAAAGCAACAACACAAAAACTCGGCTATTTATCCGACCGAGTTCAGCCAGGTCGGTTAAAAAGTATGCGACCTGAACGGTAGTGTTGTGAAGTGAAACAAGTAAGAAAGTCTAAGTTCGGGCGAAGCCGAACATTAAATACCCGGCGCAAGTACTAAGTATATGATTTTCACCTTTGCGAAAGCTACCGCTACATGGTAAGCCGGTGTGTATCAATTTTGAGTAAATTAGCGTCCTTAAATTTCGAAATATTGAAGTTTCAAGCATTTCTGAAATTTACCGTTATATGGGAGGTAGGCGTGGTTATTGTCCGATTTTGCCCATTTTCAATACCATCCGTCCTACGCCCGAAAGAAGTACACGTACCAAGTTTCGTTAAGATATCTTAATTTTTACTCGAGTTATCGTGTGCACAGACGGACGGACAGACGGACGGACGGACGGACAGACAGTCACCGCTTAATCGATTTCTCTTTTCATCCTGATCATTTATGTATACATTTGTCTATATCTATCTCGATTCGTTTTGCCTGTTACAAACAACCGTTATGTGAACAAAGTTATAATACCCTTGTGCACAAGTGCGCTCGGGTATAAAAACAGGCGAATCTGATGAGTATGCTCTGACTTTGATGTAAAAAATAATTATAGACCAGCAAAATACATACATACATATCTATGCACATACCACTTCCACAACATACATAAATATATTCTACTATTTAGTCCCCTTTCGGACACGTCAAGTCTTGAAAGCAATTTTTTCGCATTCTCTTTTGTGTTTTCTATTTGCTTCCACACGCGTCTACTTTAATTGAATTCAAGTCCTTGGTTCTTTAAATAGGAAGCAACGAAAAGATCAAAAGAGACAAGAAAACTTGAAACGAATTGACGGTACGCCTACGAACGAGCAGACTTGAAAGCAAGACTTGACGTGTCTGAAAGGGGACTTAATGTAATCGCTTGCAATTGGAATCCGACAATTAACAAAGGTAAAAAGTGTGGGGTAGACAGCGTCCACTCTACATTAGAAAATGTTTTCAATCCACCGATATATTCACCAATGGATTATATAAGCCGTATGCGACAGGCATTTAGGGTAAACATTTTTCTTTTACAACTATAAGGCCTGGGGAAGCACCAGTATGCAATATCAGAGGATTGCTTTATGTCCATGGTGAAGTCAAATTCAAGTTACGTCATACCGACTGCTGGACATCATTGCCACAAAAACGAGCTCTGTTATTACAGCAATACGAAGCGGAGCTATTGTACGATGGTCCAAAAAGATGTATCAATCTAAACACAACATCATTCAAACGTTAAAGCAATATATACATAAAGATTTCCATTCGTTTCATGATAATCTACCTCGATAAATACTTAGTTTTACATTTTAATGCAATTTGTTTCACTCCCCGTGGGTCCGCCACTGACTGACACGTAGTTTAACCCCCACAACCCCCCGCTGGATCCTCCACTGAAACGGTGCAACAAATTTTGTGATAACACGAGGCAATATTCGTTTTAAGTTTAAATTGCTATAAAAACGACTTTATAACTTGAAATTGGTAATTTTTTCAGCTAACATAATAAGGGATATTTACAGCCTTAAAGCCAATATCGAATTTTGTGTTTCCTTTTATGTATTTTTTAAATTAAGGTTTTTCGGGGCAGAAAATATTTTTTTTTAGCTTTAAAATCTTATTTTGAAGATTTTTATTCAAAGTAAGTTACGTGTAATCCAGAGCAGTCGCTCGGAGTAGTTCGGTGCTTGGAAATAACTTCAGCTGCACGTTATTTTGCAACTGACAACGTAATGTGTCGTCGGAGGGGTTCATTTTGCGCTTTACTAGTAGATAACATTGGCCATGATGACAATTTTGGTACTAAAAACTGAAAGAAACCATGGCTTACCTCGTAAGGTGCTTACCTATTTTCCTAGTGGGATATAAAAACATGCAAGTGTCTTGAAAACAAGTTAATCACGGTTACCACTGGTTACAAAAATAGCCAACCAAAATCTGAAAAAAACAACCAAATGGAAAAAAACCAAATTTGTTCTCCACGTATCTATTACAAAAAGCAAAACTTATTACAAAAAACAATTTTATTGAGCTTGATGTCGTTTTTTTTAGTAAAAATTTTGTGGGAAATATAGCTGCTATTTCGGAAAACAATAATTATTCAAATACTTGTGCGTTCAACACATATTTACTTTTTATATGTACATTAGGGTGGTCCTTAAAAATGAAATGAACGATTGTTTCAGTCTCACCCTCTCAATCGGTAATACCACAGTCACAGATATCACATATAAACTTTGGTTTCGATTGGAGACGGTTAAGGCGTGTCAGAAAGGAGGCAAAGTTCCCATTCCTCTAAAAAGACTCAAGAAAATTTGAATTTACTTTTTTCATCTAATACCCAAAATCGATACTACCGTAGTCAAAGATATCACATACATATAAATTTTGGTCTCGATTGGAGTCGGTTAAGGCGTGTCACAAAGGGGTTAAAGGCCAGATGCTTCTATGGAGACTCGAAAAATTTAAAATATTTTTTTTCATTCAATACCGAAAATTGATATCATTAATGTCGAGGATATCACATACAAATTTTGGTCCCGATTTCAGTCGGTTAAGACGTTTTCATTTGGTGATCGGAACTTTGACCCCTGTGCGACACGCCTTAACCGACTCCAGGTGGGGCCAAATTTTATACATATATGATATCTTCGACTAAATTAGTGCAGATTTTGGGTATTAGACGAAAAAATTTTTTTTTTAATTTTTCGAGTCTCCCCCTGTGCGACACACCTTAACCGTCTCCAATCAGGACCAAAATTTATATGTGATATCTTCGACTATA